ACCACTACCACCACCACTACCACCACCACCCAATCATCATCATCAACAATCGACTCAGCGGTGCCACCACCACTATCAACATCAGCAGCCTAATCCCCATTATCATCACCATCAACAACGGGACTCTTTATCCTCAGTACCATCATGATTTGAATATCTTCTTCACCACAATATTTRATGATGCTCGTCTTTCATTTTAGATACACCATGAAGTATTTTTTTTTTTAATATCTTAACTTTTAACCAGGAGTATCGTCTTCGTGTTGTCCGTTATCTTCCAAATATCAATAAGTTGCACAAGCTGCTAACAGATCGATTCTACCAACGAATCAACCAGAAACAAGCATCAGAAATGACCGTCAAGGATTTTGAAACCAAACTGAAAGGTATTTAAATAAAAGRAGTATTATGAAATAACTGTTATAAATCTCACGTTCTGGTTGGGAGCACGTACTTTATGAGAGCACACAGCACGTGCACGCACTTTCAGTCGCGTCATTCCTATCCAAAAAATGATTATTGAAATTTTTATTTTATGAAAGAAATAAAAACCTTTTTGCTGTGCTGTGTGGAGTTATAAAGCACTTGGTGATTGGCAGAACACTCGAGAAGTGTCGAGAAGCGCTCTGCCACCCGTCTTGCTTCTCCTAACACTTATTTCATGTTCTGCCAATCCCTGCGTGCATTATAATTGTACACAGCATGCGCGTGCGTTTCCTACTTCTTCAATGTTAATTAAGGTAGATTTTTAAAATAATTGTGAAACCTTGTGGCACATCATTTAAGACAATGGCCCTGCCATACCAATCAGGATGCTTGATCACAGGACCTGAATGATCACAACGTCATGGCAAATGCTACCATAGATTTAAATAGTCATTACAAAACCTCTCAATCAAGAAGTGTCGCAGAAAGATATTAAGTGTCTGTAGTGACACTGCTGATCATGAGCCAGGTACAGACCTTCTGAGAGGAACAAGGTCTTTACATATTTAAAAGAGATTAATTATTCAAGTAAAATTATTCGAACCAAATTTTTTCAGATTTAGAGAAGAAAGAATTTAAGACACTTTTCGGTAGCTTCAAAGATGCCTGGATGATGGTACGAGAGCGTCTGGACAAGCAGGGTGAGAATATAGTACTTCAGATTAAAATATAGGTAGTCATGGAAGAAGGTGAGAGAGGGTGAAAGGGAAGGAGGCAATGAATGAGTGAAAAAATCTTCCTGTAACACGAACATCACATCTGAATGTTGGCTTATTTTCATGATGTTCTCATCTGCTCATCTTTTTAAAGGTCGCTATAAGCTGTCAAGCACAGAGTGCAGCAAGACAATTGATGAGAACAGTCCCATGTCCATCCTCATTCCCTCTACTMATGGCCTGGGTCGATGTTCCCTCTCACTTGTCTTTTACCTTGTCACTGCTCATAATGAGTTCATGGAGACATATTTCAACATTACCGTGGGTAAAGCAAGGTACATATTCAYATATAGCAAAYTCCATACAATATTTCGTGACAAGTTACGTTGCCTGGCGTAACATCATATCTTCTGTATGTCCTGTTTTAGACAAGATAACAAGATAGGACTAMCAGAAGTGACAARTTCCCAGCTCGTGTCGTACGATGCTGATCGTGATCTGCTCCCCTTAATGCAAGCACATTGTCATTACTCGCTTGAAGTTGGTCATGGTACATTGGTTGAATATGATTGGACAGCCATTCAAAGACAACTGATCGATAGGTTCATTCGAGGGAGACCTTTGGTTGAGTTTAAGGTGAGCTTTATGAAAACAAAATATATGAAAGAATTTTTAATTACAGAAAAAAAATAAGAAAAATCAAAATACTTTCATATTTTGATGTGACGGTTTTTCTTCTTCACAGGAACCGAAATTTGTTTTCCTCAGAAATAATGATGCAGACGTGTTTGCTGCTGTAAGAAGCAAAATAGAACAGGTAAGATGGAATAACAAGAAAGACATCACTTTATCACTTATATTGCTTTATTATAGGGACCAAATATCCTATACAGAAGGTGTAATGAAAAAAATAAGAAATATTGACTTCATCATTTTCCATAGGAAAGCATTTCTTCCATATCTGCCAGAACTATCATGAGTGATTTACGCCACTTAAATGAAGTATGTGACGTCAAACTCTCCCTTGAGATAGCTATGGGGTTTCTGGCATCAAGTGGTGGACGGCCTGAACAGTTAATTAGCGAATATCTACATGATGTGTTGCACATGCCCAGTGAAAAGGGTCTTAGAAGCCGCAGGGTAAGATTTAGTCTAGCTATCAATAGCTACTAAGATTTATTTCCATTTTGTTATGAAACTTGATGATGTTGATGATCGTGATGGTGTGATGATGTTGGTGTTGATGGTGATGGTGGCATTGACAATTATGATGGCAATGATAACGATGATCGTGATGTTGTGATGATGTTGGTGTTGATGGTGATGGTGATGACAATGTTGGTGGTGATGACGACGATGTTGGTGTTAACAATGATGATGGTGGTGATGACAATGATTGTGGTGATGAAGACGACAATGTTGGTGGTGCTGGCAATGATGGTGATGATAATGTTGATGGTGATGATGATGATGATGATGATGATAATCCAGTAGAAGAAGAGCCACTAGAGCTGTGGAATCACTTTTAATTCACATTTATCTTTGATGATGATGGTAATGTCGTATGTTACATTCTGGTAACTTATCTATACAGCCTGTAATCTCTCCTTAGGCAGAACAATATTGTCATCTGAAACACATCGTTCACCTTTGGCAGCTCGTTACAACCCAGAGAGCAAAGATTTTGCTACAGGACGATCAGGTATGACCTTGTGTATGACATTATATTATCATTAGTGTTACACACATCTACCGCTTCTCATTAGCTGTAATCAAAGATGTTGAAAACAAAAAGCTCAAACGAACAAAACATAATGCAGCTGTAGACCTCTTACCTTATGGTTATGCGTACAATATTTTACCATTTCAGACCACATRATCATTTCCTTTTATAATAAGATTCTTTGTTTGAGTTATAGCCATACTTATTTAGTGTCTTCTCATGCACAACAGTTAACAAAGAAATAATACTCCAGGGAATAATTGGCCTGGTATAGTTCTTTTGAGATCTTATAGATTATGATTGTGTATGTTGTAGGATCCATTTGATGAAGTTCAAGAGGGCTTCAAGGAGGAAATACCAAGAAAKGTTCTGCTTATCCTGAATCGCKTCCTACGAAACATTGATTGTAGTAGGTTTTGTGGAGAACTCCTTGAGATGATAACATTCAGTCTGAACCAAGAAAACGAGAAACACTTGGACATCAGGTTATAATCATTAAACAATAACAACAACAACAACAACAAACCTTTCCTTATTTCGCTTAATATGTGAACACAAAACAATGGCTCCATCTCAAGATTGAAAATGATAACATATACAGTTTGAATGTTTATCAAAGCCAACCTTGACTACAAGCCATAATTGTTTCATTGCATAAACTGACAGACAAGTGAATTCAACAAAGTAATATAGTTATATTGCCATAATTTCCTAATTTTTCACTTCTTTTGTTGTTACTATAAAAGATACAAAATTTAGTGCATCATTTTAAAGTCGACCTGACTTCATTACTTCATTTATCAAATTCAATGTTGGTCATTGGCAAGTCATGTCCACCAAATCGATGCATTATTTTGTATTGTAACCTCAATCTAAAAATACTCGCTTATTTGTTTTCCCCCTATTTTACATTTTACTGCTTTTTCTTAACTTTTTCCTTTTTTTTTTCCTTTTTCATTTCTTCTTTTTTTCTTTCTTTTTTGTTTCTTATTGATAAATTGGACCATAGGTCCCTGGAAAATAGGACTGGGTTTCCTATTTTTTGCTACAAAAACGTATTTTGATAATATACTGATATTTATTTATACCTTGCGAAATGAAGTAAATATAAAAATATAATTATTGCTTTATTACTTRAAGCTAGTGACAAACCAAATCATATTTTCAATATTTTTCCCCCCCTTTCTTTCTACCCAGCCTTGGGGATTTTTTTGAGTGGCACATGGATGGACGTGATGAAGCAACTGATGTGTCTGRTCTACCAGATGAACTCCTCCTCAAACATTCTGTTAAAACATGGGAGAACGTTCTTGAGAAAAGTCAAGAGCGCCATCAATCAAATCGTTAAGAACCCCAAAGTAAGACTTTACTGTTAGTAAACTAAGAAAAGGATAGAAAAGTAGAAAAATAGAAAGTAGAAAAATACTAATTTTTTTGTTGAAAACTTAATTTTTTCCTAGAAATTAATCAATCAAGTTCTACAAATAATTCATTAAAAAAATACAGAAAAATGTGTCAAAGAATTTACCATTAACACTGATATAAAAAAACTGATGTTTTGAACTCAACTTCTGATAAAGTGTCAATCTAGTAATGAATTACATCACATCTACATTTACATCTACACCCTGTTACCCAACACTCAGTTACATAACACCCTGTTATATAACACCCTGTTACGTAACACCCTGTTACGTAACACCATATCAAAACGCCCTGTTACATGACGCCCAGTTACGTTACACCCTGTTATAAAACAACCTGTTATATAACACCTCGTTATGTAACACCCTGTTACGTAACACAGTAACATAACGCCCCGAAACGACCCAGTTACCTAACACCCAGTTACCTAACACCTAGTTACAATATACATTTCACTTCTTTGACTCAGTTTAGGTTTTATTTACACTTCACCTTTCTTGCTTATCATATTAATAACGCTTTGTCATTTTGGTTCGATTCCCAGCGAGGTCGGAAATTTTTCCGAATTTAATTCCAAGGGTCTTTCGCCCGGAATAACCTCGTTCCCAAGCACTGTAACTTATCTATATTTCTATATCTTCATGTACTTCATAAGTGCTACGCGGTCCATATATTCTCATCTTTGTCATTTTAGTAACTCTAACCCAAATCTAAGCTATAATTTATCACCAACAACTTTTCATGGCAGATAAAAGTCAACTGTGTTTACWTAGGCTATGGCGTGGCGTCACTGGTTTATAACTTGTTTTGTGCGTTAACGACTCCGAAATTCCTGCTTTTTGTACCATGGCCATCCACTCAAGAAGACATTTTTGTTAAAAAGTTTTACATAAAGCTTATCCTTTTATCTTTCTTGTTTTATAACCGATTCAAGATGCTGTAAAATTTAAGAAACCGACTAGGCGGCATTTAATATAAAAGCTATGGCGTCAGGCSTCCTTCCATGGATAACATGGCGGACATAAGAACTTTGTGTTCTTAGAAATATTTATATCAGCTTAATAACGACAAAAAAATCTTGAAGTAACTCATCTGAGGTTTACAAAAGCTCAAATGACATTTACACTGGTTTATGAGTTGTTTCGTTCGTTCACGAGCTAGCGTAGACGAGCTACTCCATTACGGCCTATTAAAAAGCTCGCCTTTTGAAGTCTTCAGCTTAAATGTCAAGTAAG